CCAACTCAACATTCAAAGTCCTCTGCCTGTGGCCTTTGCTGACATTGGCTGGGGTGCAGCAAAGTATGTAGTGGCGGTCGGATCCCTGTGCGCTCTGTCAACAAGGTAAAAAAAAGTCAGAGTGAGAATTGGCTCTCTATTATGTTTCAGATCAGTTACAGACATTTCATTTAATCTGCAGTCTCTTGGGGTCCATGTTCCCAATGCCCCGTGTCCTGTTTGCCATGGCCAGAGATGGACTCATGTTCAAATCGCTATATAAAGTCAGCTTACGGCAGAGTCCAGTGGTGGCCACACTATCCTCTGGAACTGTGGCGGGTAAGTGGACTGAAAGATTGTTAAAAAATGATCTACTAATCGGATATCTTAATTCTGCCCTCTCACATATGACAGACTAAGCCAAATCATAAGACTAGGGCCTTTTTCTCTCTGTGAGATGAATAGTAAATAGGCTGCAGCTTTTGTTTAAAATACAAAAGCCCTGGGAATCATGTGCTCTGCTTTATTCCAGCAATAATGGCTCTTTTCTTTGACCTGAAGGCATTGGTTGATATGATGTCGATTGGAACCCTTTTCTCCTACACACTTGTGGCTATTTGTATTCTCATACTAAGGTTGTATTCCCAGCTCCACAGTTCCCTTCTGTTCTACCACCATAATGCAAATCTTTGAAGCTAAAATGGGTTTCTTTCAAAGGTATCAAGAGACAGCTTCAGAGGAAAATGATTTGCGCACACCCACAACCTCCATGTTTGGGTTTTTGAAACCCCCTTCGTACCCTACCAAAGAAACTTCAAACACTGTTACAACCTGCACAGTTTTTCTTGGTGTGTAGAAAACCTTACCATACTGAAATTCTACAAAAATCGCACAAAAATCTGACCTCAGGCAGCAATATAAGCAAACCTATTTCATATCTTTGCTTTTGCAGTTGTGTTGGTGCTTATCCTGTCACTGCTGATGAGCAAAGCTATCAGATCTTTGTTGTTGCTGGAGATCTGGAGTGTTGTGAGTCTATCTGTGATCCTGGTCATAATCTTCCTCATAGTCTTCATTATCTGGAGGCAACCCCAGAACCCAACCAAAGCCTCCTTCATGGTGAGCACATGACTTATAAAACATATAAGTCATATATAATATAAGCGTCTAATTTTATAAAAAATATAATAAATAAAAACATTTGTATAAATTATAAAATAAAAATCTCATATTTTCTGTGACCACAGGTACCGTTCTTGCCTTTACTCCCTGTGGTGAGTGTGTTCGTCAACATTTACTTGATGATGCAACTGGGAGGAGACACCTGGGTTCGCTACGCTGTGTGGATGGCTGGGGGTATGCGATGCAAAATATGAAATATGCTGAAAGTCCAACCCAAATTTATGTTTTAAAAAATATGTAAATATGTGTCTTTTTTATGCTCAGGATTCCTCATATACTTTGGATATGGAGTGAGGAACAGCGTCCAGAGGCAAAGGTTACTCAGCAGTCAGGTCACCATTGAAACCATTGAATCCAAATCTGATAAAGATAGACCAAAATAAACGTATGAACCAAAAGTCCTTTGCACCTGTTACATCCGTCAAGTAGATGCCTTTCTATGTTTCTTTCTTTTTTCGACTTTTTAATAGAGCTTGCATCATATTTGCAGTGAAATCTTTTTATACTTTTTATAATAAATGAATAAATAAATAATAATTCTGAATCTTCAAGTTGACTAAGACATCTTTTATTAAATTATACACCACTGTTCAAAAGTTTTTAATGCTTTTAAAAGAAGTCTCTTATGCTCACCAAGGCTGCATTTATTTGATCAAAAATATAGTAAAAAGAGAAACATTGTGAAATATTATCATTATATTATAATATTATATTTTAATATATTTTAAAATGTAATTTGTTCCTGTGATGGAAAGCTGAATTTTCAGCAGCCATTACTGTCCCAGATTGGTGAGATGAAGCGGATCTATAATACAGTGTAACTTAATTAAATAAAACCAAGGAGTATAATTTAGCACAAAGATAATCCAAACAAGCGAAGGCAACATAACAGTGTGCATGAAACACAAACAACACCAGACAATGAACTAAAGAAACTGAGAGCATTGCACAGAGAACTAATGATCAAATTAGTAACAGGTGTGATCAAATCAATGAAACAATGATTAACCATGACAACAGTAGATGAAAAACATCTAATGTTGCCACATTAGGGCTGCGTTCGAAAGGGGCCTGCAAATGCAAAACTTTTGACAACAGGATTCAAAGAGCAAGATTTTTAAAACTATACCGTTATCGTTTTCATAAACTACAAAAAGTGTGAATTTGTGAAACTGGTGATGTAATGCTCATTACATGTTCAGTCTATAGGCAGGTAGTGTTTCTTTACAAAGTGACGTCGCCAACTACTGGCCTGGCGGCATATAATACAGCGTTTTTAGTCGTTTTCGTGGATCCGTGTGTGAGCGCGTGGATCGTTGTTGCCTGTACGTGAAAAAAGCAAAGGAAAAACTTTTCTTTATACATTACTCCAGACATATAAATGTCTTTATTGTAAATATTGATCATTTAAAGCAACTTTGCTGAATACAAGCATTAAAAAAAATCATACTGAGCCCAAACATTTGATTAGTAATGTATGTTTCGGGGAGAATGCTTCAGTCATGAAAAAAAAAAAAAGTTTTTTCAGCATGATTTGAGTAAAATAAAGAACATTTATGGCATTAACATTGTCAGATTTTGTTGTTAATTTTGATGTATGTAACAATATGTAAGCTTGGCAAACAGTTTAGGAGATTTCAGCCTCTCCTCGTTTAACTTGTACATGCATAACTAGAAAACTAGAAAATCGCTGCTCAGAGGAGTTGCTGAGTGAACTGATGTACCCTTAAGGGACTTTGATCTTACTTTCAAATCTGAGGGCACAAAAGAACAATAGTAACATTCACAAAATCCTACCTGTGGCACACTAATCAGATTATTAAATCAAACAAAAAAGCTCAGAAAACTGTTAAATTCTGCGGCAAAGTCAGGGCAATGAGTTTATAGGCCGTTACTATGTTATGTCATTTGTAGTGCTATTGCATTTATGCACCAGATAAAATATCGATTCGCAATATGTGTGGATCAATTCTAAATTTACCATGTAGTCATTCACAACAACATATATGTTCTTGTGACAGATATTTTCAGAGCTAGCAAACCTGAGTTTTTACAGCTAAATAAACATTGTCTGCTTTTTCAGTTGGATGGCCAGTTCTCCTCAGGCCCTGATTGGTAGAATGAACACAGAAAGGATCCATTGAGTGTAACCAGAGGAATTTAGGGTGTTCATGCGACTCTCATAAACATCTGACCCCTCACTCACTCGGTTCCTCCTCTACCGCTACCTTTCTAATTTTCCCTTCTCTGCATGTATGCTCAAGATCTGGGAACATATACCAGAGTGAACTAAAGTTTGTTTGTGGTCGCTGTGAATATTCTCCGCCATGAAGTGGAGGGTGGTGCTATTTGCTTTTCTCGTTTCTCTTTTGATCATTCAGTTTGGTGAGTATCTTACCTCTTAAGAGGCCACATTGTACATTAGATATGACTTTAAGTTGCAAAAGGAGATGGAGAAAAACATTTAACTGTACATTAAAGCAATGCATGTAAAACATTTAAAGTTGCATATAAAATACCTCAATGTGAATATTTTTTTTGGTGCACTCAGTAAGTTTTACCCTGTTAAAAATGTTGTACATGAGAAATGTTTAAAATCATGTACACACACACACACACAGAGAGAGAGAGAGAGAGAGAGAGAGAGAGAGAGAGAGAGAGAGAGAGAGAGAGAGAGAGAGAGAGAGAGAGAGAGAGAGAGAGAGAGAGAGAGAGAGATATTTCGGTAGCATAGTAAGAGTAATAACTGAAAACGTTTGCAGTGCATGATGCTGTATCCACACCACTAGGTGTCGGCATAAGTTGTTTTGCTAACTATTTCAATAGACCACTTTAGACATTCTACTATAGGTAACCTTGCAACTACATGTGAACTACCAGTCATTAGAGTATTAGTTGACTGTCTGCTTAATATCTGCTAACCTGTTATTTTGATGCTCCACAACAGACGTTCTATAAGTAACTCAATTTATTCTGGTAACACTAAACCTAAATGTAACCTAACAGTCAACTAATACTCTAAGGCCTGGTTTCACAGACATTTAGGACATTTAAGTAGCTTTTAGAGAAAAACAAGAAAAAAAAACATTATTGGTTAAAGTTAAATTTCAACAGTGTTTCAGAATGCTTTGTCACATGAAAAACAGGCATGTGCCAAAAGGTTGAACCTGACCCGAAGACCAAAGCTGAGAAGAGACCAAATGTAAAGTCCAAGACTGTGAAGGGGACAGGAAAGGCAACCTCTTCCAAACCTAAAGTGAAAACCACCCCTGTGACCCCTAAAGAAGCCCAGACGTACCTCACCCAGGTGGTAAACAAGGGAAGGTTTCAGAAAGTGGGCGACACGTTGACTGTCCAGGCAGGTGATGCGTTAGAACTGAGGTGTAAAGGAAATCCTGTCCAATGGGCTGTTCCTGCATATCTGGAAGAGGACGATGAAGGGCGACTCAGGTATGAGCTAACAGTGACAATTAATCTGTGATCACATTCGATTGTGTTAGTTTAGTTCAATGAATCAATTGCTGTTTTGCTTTTATTTTCTGTCCGTATTTTTAGGACAGTTCAACATGAACGTTATGGCACACTGATTTTGGCAAATGCAACAGCAGCAGATACAGGGGAGTACACCTGCTATCCCATGCACTGTGAGGAGAAAGACTGCAGAAAACAATATGACAAAGGCGTCAAAGTCTTCATCTTTTTCTCTGGTAATATGGGAATGTAATGTGATGAACAGTAGGCCTGCAAATTTTACAAGTAGTCAAACTCAAACTGAGTCAGATTTGAAAAGTTGTGTATAGTGTATTCCAGCCTTTAGTAGCCTGCTACATCCATATTAAAGATATTAAATATTTTATTTTGCCTGTGGTATTTTCACATTTTTCCTCAACTGGCGTCATGTTTTATCTCAGTTATCGACAATTTGATCAACACAGAGATGACAATTGTCCTTTGGTATTTCTCTCTTAGACCCTCAGGAGTTGTTTGTACCTTCCTCTGATTATTACGAGGTCATTCAGCTTCGCACTAACTGGCCCACCGTCCTGCCCTGTCAGGTGACTTCTCCGCTAGCAAAGGTGAATTTACACCGGGAATTTCCTCCAATGGAGGTGAATGTGGATGGACGAGAGATCTCCTTTGACGTTAAGAAGGGCTTCACCATTCACAGGCCGAAACAGTATCATGCTGGTTCTCTCTACTGTGTGGCAAGCCTGGGGAACCTTCGCCAGAGCTCAACCAAGTACATGCTCATCTATGTCAACTGTGAGATTTTTTTTTAATGCAGTACATAGCATGTGACTATATAAATCAGATTGCAGAAATTATTTCAGAATGCCTTTATATACCCTGGCAGATCCAGCCGCCCCTCCGTCTCCTGCGATCCAGACCTCCTCTGACACTGTGGCAGTGGGACAGAATCTCCAGGTGACATGCACTGTGGTGGGAGAGCAGGACGTGGTGGTGGATTTAACCTGGGAATATCCTGGACAAAAGGTTAGATAATAAGTATACCAAATATGTACTGTACACACAGCCTCACGATATTTAATAATATTTTTTATATTTTTTGTATTTACAAAAACAGAGATTTTTAAATAAACCCTATAAAGCCTGATATTTGTTGTTCTAAGTTTATAGAACTTTTAGACAAAATATATAATAGATAGGAGGGGGAAAAAACACCTTAAATTTATTAAGAAGCCCAAACTGAGCAAAAATATGCAATTATAGGTACAGCTTCTGCTGATATTTATATGGCCAAAATGTCCAATTAAATTATTATAGCTTGTAATGTATATCAGTAAGATCTTTAACTATAGTACGCAATATGATATCAGTGAGGAAAAAAATATTTGTTATGTTTTTCCTGCTTAAAATTGGATTTTTAAATTTATTTATTAATTAAAAGTTTGTTGCCTCAAGGCAACATTGTACCACAATGGACAAATTGAAACATTTGACATTTTCATGAATAAAAAAATTATATATTTATTGTAAACATAAATTTCTTTAACTAAACACTTGAACAAACAGATTTATCAGGTTTTTAATGAATTACAGATTTCATATTTAATAAAAAGTAACATTTATTATCCAGCTGTTGCCCTCAGGCAACATTGTACCATCGTGGAACGCAAGTAAGTACTACAAACCATCATATCATCAAGTTATCATATCAAAACATTAGAATCGGTGTTGTTTTAAGGTAAAACATTAACAATCACCATAAACTTATCCTAATATGAACCTTTGTCCGATTGCCCACTATAGTGGCCAAATGTCCTGTCGACCCCCCCGACCGGTCCCAAGCCACGAACCCCCTATTTGTCCGATTACCCTCTATAGTGGCCAAATGTTCCGTCGACCCCCCTGACCGGTCCCAAGCCACGAACCCACTATTTGTTCGATTGCCCACTATAGTGGCCAAATGTCCTGTCGACCCCCCCGACCGGTCCCAAGCTACGAACCCCCTATTTGTCCGATTACCCTCTATAGTGGCCAAATGTTCCGTCGACCCCCCTGACCGGTCCCAAGCCACGAACCCACTATTTGTTCGATTGCCCACTATCCCAGATAGCAAAAAATATCGGCACGGCTTCTTTTTGCCGCCGGCCCCAAACTGTCGGCTATAGGTGCGGCCCGCTGGCGGAGAAGAAACGTTTGCCGCCGAATACGTCACTCCCATTTCTTGCGAGATGCCGCCGGCGAACAGCCGCCGGGCCGCCGACTTCATTCTCTCTGGCGGTTGCCGCCGTCTAAATGAACCGCGGCCGGCTGGCGGCAAGCCGCTTTGAAATCGACCATGTCATTGGCATGAGTGGAACTGACAGCATTTTAACTTTCACATTTAAAGCGATTATAATTATTATGTGAATTATATCAAATTTTTAGGTACCAAAGTCATTATAGGGTTTATAACAGATTTGACTCAGTCTGATTCCATGATAAGGTTTAGGAAAATACATTTAAATTACGTTGAAACTCTGAAGCAATTCAGTGATAGGCCTATGTAAAATATATAGAATTATTTGATTCACTTAAGGTGACAATTCATTTCTTTGATTTATGCACAAGTGAGATGCACAAATAGTCAAAAAAAAATTCCTTTTGTAAAACTTACTTGGCAATAAATATCTTTCTGATTCTGATTAGGTTTTAAAATAAATATTTCATTCATGGTATGAACAATTTAGCAGAATAAATGGATGAAGTTAGACTTTTAACCAATGCCTGAAATCAGTGAACAGTGAAAGACATCTGCAACTTGGCCAAAAGCTTGGGTATGCTTTAGATTTTTTTTATTAATTTGCAACCATGGTAATATTTATAATAAACATGAAAATCCCTGTTTTGACCTGAAAGATAAAGTGAAATATTTAGAAATATTTTGTCTCTCTGTCACCCCAGGAAATTTCGTTTATGTCTTTCATTTTTTTACAAGTTCGATTTTTTTATTTATTTTACCTTTTACATGTATAAGGGATTAATTTGCAATAGCGAGTTTTGCAATCTGTACAAATGTTTAAGAAAGTATTAAAGCACAAACAGAGAAGTACCTCCACCGGCCGAGAGGGGCAGTACCTAAAAAACGGAAGCAGATTTACCAACACAACAGTGGCCACTCGTCACACGATTTCAGTATTTGGAGACGATATCCTATCTAGTCATTGACTACGATCTTTAAAGTAAGTACATTTTTCCTTTTTGTGTAACGCAATATTATGTTCATTTTTTACATTTTTAGTTCATCTTTTTCAAATATGTTCTTGCCTTACTAGTCAAGCTAGTAAGTTAGCCTGTTTACAAAGTTTGCGTCATGTTTCTGACATAGCTAATGTTAGTTAGGCTAACGTTACTTAGTTTCTTCCTGGCGTTAGTTTTTTCTTTTCTTCTTTTAACTATATTTACGTATGTTTATGCAAGTGTGAGTACTACAGTATGTGGTTTAAGATAGTATTGGTCAGTCGAATAATTAACTAACTTACGTAACTAAATCCTGAAGGACAATTCTCCCGCCCACGTGGGAATGGTAACGTTAGCAACATCTTTACGACAAGAAAGACTGATCAGTATAACTTGTGTTGTTTTCTAACTAAACATAATGATGTTTTGTTTGATTCGACAACCATGCTGCTAGTCTAGATTAACTTACAGTGTTAGCTAACACATGCTGCTTCGCCTTTTTTACTCACTGAATTCAAGCATGTTCGACATGTTGAAATGTATCTAGCTACAGTAGATCGCCAAAGCTTTACATCTAGAAAGTTTAACTTTTGGTGTTTTCTTACAAAAATAACTATGTGTGTGTGTGTGTATATATATATTATGTATATATATATGTGTGTATGTATATATGTGTGTATATGTATATGATTGTGTTTTTCTGAACATGGTTTTCTGTTGATCCACTTGTGAAAATGACTCGTTTTTTGAAGGGGTGAGCATTTTAATGTTATTGATTTTGCCTGGAAATTAATCAAAAAGTATACTTTATGCAAAATGTTCTTCTATTTTAGATGGTTCACATTGTTCAGTTTATCAACGAGGAGGATCTGCCATTTGCAGTGGTTCCGCAAGAGTGGCTCAGCGAGAGCATGTGCCATTGGCCCCCATTTAACCTCAGCAAAAAGACGAAGGCAACAATTTGGCCATCCTCTGCACACCTCCACACAGCACCTGGGAGAAACATCATTTTAAGTTCATGAAGGGAGCAGGTAAATGGGTCTGACTTGTGTATTTGATTTTCCTGTATTTCATCTGTGTAATTTATTTTCTGTTTATTGTGGATAACTGACTCTTATATTCATTATTCCCTACTCTAGAATCTTGTAAGTCTCAAGAAAAAAAACTCTAGAAAGATGCATCGATTCCAGAAAACCAGGAAAATGCTGAACTGGTATGTAAAATCTATTGCTGTTATGCTGGATTTGTGATCCTGCCACTAAACTATACCATTTGTTAGATTTTCAAATTTCTGTTTCCTCTTTCTCGCTACCAGGTTTCTCCCCAGTAATCCAGACTCCACTTCACAGAGCCAAGAGTTTGAGTACAAGTAAGTGATGTTATTTGTGAAGTTTTTTTGTCTTGGAAACTATTGCTTCTATTTGAAGTCGGCATGAACCGGAAGTTACAAACGACTTTTCTCCAGTGTTGTGTTAAAAGTGAAACGGTATATTGAACGGAGGGCAGGGTTTTACTCTAGCGCTCCTCTTCTCCATCTCTGCTCATAGCACGGTTTGAGGGGAGTTGCCACGCCCTCGCGCCATAGCACATGACCGGAAGAGAAGAGAAGTCGTTTCGAGGGGGGAGGGAAGGGTAACGTATTTGATTAAAGATTATAAGGCTACATGAATTTTAAAAGAATAATGAAGTGCACAGATAAATCATTTATAATAAACACTACAATATTACATATAAAAATACGAATTGTAAAATCTTACTTCAAGAGCAGGTGAAGCAAGTTCAACAAACAATGTTGAAGACGTTTGCTTGCACTGAGCAATTAGGTACAACTTGCAAACAGCACCTGTGGTTGTAGGTTTAATTCCCACTGGGGCTACCTGTACATGTAGTAGACCTAGATATAAAGTACAATTTAAGATTGTATTCTGCATATATTACAGTCTGAATCCTTAGCCTTTCACATTTTTTATTTATTTATGAGAAGCTTCAGAGAAATGTAATTTGTAACACTTTTTTGGATTTTCAGCTTGGTGTAGGGGATAAAGCATGTTTTAGAGACATGTTCCTGAAGACCATTGTTCAAAGTAAGTTGGATATATATATTTTTTTTAAGTAGATGTGTATGTCCTATTGTCCTCATGCAATTCAAATTAAATGACAGATCTGTATTTTCTATATTAGCCATCCGGAAGGACCCGGCAACCCAGGATGCACTGATGAGGCGGTCCAGGTTAACGTTACGCGTTACCTGAAAGGAGCATCTGACCGTGAAGGCAGAAAAAGGCGCCGCACAGCTGAGAGGGACCCACAGCCGACCACTTAAAACTAGACTGACTACTGACACCCCAGAATCACTGACAACTGGAATCCTTTCTTTATCTTGCAGTCAGTAGAATCAAGACCCTTAAAGAAGTCAGAAGTGTCAGACTACACTCACTCACTTTGGAAATTACTTTCTTTTTTTCTTTTTCAAATAAAGCTTGTAAATCCTTGTGCCACAGGTCAGCATTGGGGTTATAATGGCCTATTCTACTCCAGAGCTTTACTATAAATTACTACCACTTATCATATTGTTAGAAATGGTTTGTAAATGTAGTTATACTTTTATTTATTTGGTATCTTGCACATTATTTGGTATCAAATATCCTCTTTACTTGTCATAATGTTTACTGGTAATTTTTTACCCTAGAGCTGTCCTTTTTATATGAACACTTATTGTAAGTGTTGTAATTTGCTTGTAAGGCTGTTTAACCAAAATTGAATTGGAAACCTGCATGTTAGTATATTGATTTATTTATTTTTCTGTTATGTTTCAGTGATCTGAAACATCTTGTTTAAATGACAGTTACTGTACTTTGAAATGTAGAATAAAAATGCCAATTGTAAATTTGTCTGGTTTGAGCAATCATTATTCTTGATAAACTGCATGCTATAAATAAATAAATAAAAAATATATATATATAGCCAGAATAAGCGGCGGCAGAGCGCTCGAAAATAGCGTTTGCCTCCGGCGGGCCGCGGAAGGACGGCCTTCAATATAAAGGCGGCGGAACGGCGGTTGGCCCGCGGGCCGGCCGCTTAACGAAGGCGGTAGGAAGGCGGCTGCCGCTTTTAAAAAGCGGCTGCCGCCGGCGGTGCGCCGTCCAACGTGTTTGCGATGTCGCCATTCTGACGCTTCTACTGCCGCCGGAGAACCGACGGTGGTCCGCCGACTCATTGCTATCTGGGATAGTGGCCAAATGACCCGTCGCCCCCCGCTTACCAGTCCCAAGCCACGCCCCCTTCCCACGAACCCCCTATTTGTCCGATTACCCTCTATAGTCGCCAAATGACCCGTCGACCCCCGCTGACCAGTCCCAAGCCACGCCCCCGTCCCACGAACACCCTATTTGTCCGATTACCCTCTATAGTGGCCAAATGTCCCGTCGACCCCCCTGACCGGTCCCAAGCCACGAACCCCCTATTTGTCCAATTGCCCACTATAGTGGCCAAATGAACCGTCGACCCCTGCTGACCACTCCCAAGCCACGCCCCCTTCCCACGAACCCCCTATTTGTCCGATTACCCTCTATAGTGGCCAAATGTCCCGTCGACCCCCCTGACCGGTCCCAAGCCACGAACCCCCTATTTGTCCAATTGCCCACTATAGTGGCCAAATGAACCGTCGACCCCTGCTGACCACTCCCAAGCCACGCCCCTGTCCCACGAACACCCTATTTGTCCGATTACCCTCTATAGTGGCCAAATGTCCCGTCGACCCCCCTGACTGGTCCCAAGCCACGAACCCCCTATTTGTCCAATTGCCCACTATAGTGGCCAAATGAACCGTCGACCCCTGCTGACCACTCCCAAGCCACGCCCCCGTCCCACGAACACCATATTTGTCCGATTACCCTCTATAGTGGCCAAATGTCCCGTCGACCCCCCTGACTGGTCCCAAGCCACGAACCCCCTATTTGTCCAATTGCCCACTATAGTGGCCAAATGAACCGTCGACCCCTGCTGACCACTCCCAAGCCACGCCCCCGTCCCACGAACCCACTATTTGTCCGATTACCCTCTATAGTGGCCAAATGTCCTGTCGAACCATGCTGAGTTTTAAATTTGCAAAAATGTAAATACATTTAGATAATTCAAACTCTTTTCCTTACAAATAAAATATACTTGTATTCAAACCTAGTATGCCTGGTATGGCCTTATGTGATTCTATTATGGTACAATGTTGCCTCGAGGCAACATGCAGTTTTATGTAATTTCCTACGAAACATTTGATAATATATAATCTAAAGTTTTTGAAAATACTTCTTTACTAACCAATGAAGGTGACTCTGATTTTTTGTATTGCCATGTGACATGATGTTTTGCCATGTGACATGTGCACATGGGCTGAAAGAGGGAACAAAATGGACCCCTGTGGGTCATGTGGCCACTCTATTGCATTTTCATTTGTTAGTATTTGAGTTCCCCTCCCCCTAGAGAGCATTGACCAATTAAATTGTTTTAAGTTTTTATATAAAAAAAAAAAAAAAAGCTAAAATAGACTATGTTGCCTGGAGGCAACACCATAGGGGATGTAACAGTATCAGACTTTACTTTCATGAAATGAATGCATAAATACATTAAGTTCAGTTATCACTCTAATAAGTCTTAGTAAGATGATATTTAAATGCTTATAGTTTAAAAGCTCTGTTCTATATGGTCACCGTGATTTTGCCAAGTAAGACATGGTCCTGGATCAACATATTTTGTTGATCCTGGATCAACATTCCTGTCCCAAAATGTAGTCCCCCAATCCCTCCCCCTAAACCTAACCCTACCCATAACTTTTCCCTAAAATCAGATGGCAATGAAAGGTGAATAGCACTGATGTTTAAGTACTTAACCCTGGTTCTAAGCCTAAACTTGACATAAACTGTAAACTTGTCCCTCAAATCTGATTGGTTGATTGGAAAGTTGATCCAGGATCAACAAAGATGTTGATCCAGGAACATGTGGTACTTGGTCAAATCACATTCACCCGGTCGAATGCAATGCAATACAATGATGATTGAGAAATGTTCCTCAAAAGCCTGATGCATCATTTTTGATACATTTCAACATGATCAAGTTAACTTCAGATGCTTCAATCCAGGAAGTCTTCACCCTGAAATATTACTAACCATATACAAGTTATTCTTATGTTTAATCTATTAGATTTCACAGCAAAAAGACTGTGTACTGCCTGAATTGGGATTTCTTCAGAACTATACTAAAATATAAAAGTAAAAACTTTTACTTGCTTAAAATAATCAGATGACAGAAGGCAAGTAGTAGATTGTGTACGTGTTACAACATTATGTTGACTTTTCATCATGTTGATAATTTAGATATACAGCAAACTTTTGTAAATTAAAAAATTTAAACCCATTATTTAAAATATTTATTTTAAATGATTCTTTTTATTTTTCATTATCAGATTGGGCGCCCGATGTACACCCAGGACAGTGTGCAGACAGTGCAGGTGGACGGGCAGAACCGACAGCGAACTCAGTCGGTACTGCTGGTGGATGAAGTCAGAGAGGTTGACCAAGGAACATACACCTGCACAGCTCAGAACCTACAGGGTTCACGCTCTGCATCTACCTCTGTCAAAGTGCAGTCAGCACGAGCCAACACCAAGCCTAAAAGAAACCACGAAGCCCGTCAGAGAAGTCCCACAGAAACCTGAAAACCTGGATATTCTTTCTTAGTCATAACATGCACTACTAAACGGCTGTAAATGAACAAGAATGATCCTCACAGAATACTGTGTAGACGCAAGCCAGATGCAACAGTTTGTTTATTTTTAACGCCATGCTATAGCATCAGGGCTATTTACATGGCAAACACAAGGTCAATATCACAATCCATAAAATTTAAATTATTATAAAACATTTTAACTTGACATAAGATAGAAAATCTAAGATAGATTCGGGTGATACATTCAATTTAAACATGTTTCTGAATAAAAGCGTTTTCTAGCAGTAGGGTATCATAAAAATTACAGTCCGCAGATGCAACAGAGCAAAGCGGTAATAGTGCTTAAATTACACAGTATGTGCACTACCATGGTTTCACTGACCCTGCTGCAACAAAGCAAACGGGATTGTATATGTGAGAATAAATATCATCTGAGCACAAAATTACAATATGACAATCAAACCTGCAACTATATAGAAATGCTGGCATAAATGGATAAATAAAAAAGAGGTATAGAGTCTTTTTTAGAGTCTAATTAACAACATATAGGCAAACTAGGCTATTTACACATTTCTAATATTGTGCAGTTTTGAATCCTGTACCTACATATGTTTTTATACTATGAAAATAAAACACAGTAGGCCTATATTAATGCCAGCTTCTGTTTTCTGTGTTCTTTATAAACTATTACTGTTATAATCAGACTTTGTTTGTGACATTGTCACTGAATCAAACTGAATCCCAGAAATACCACAGCTTTAACATTACCATCAGTGATCAAGGCTGACTTGTGATGTTGAAAACACAGGACAGATGCTGAATCCGCAAAAGCAATGTGTTCGTATCACAACAACCACTGGCATTACAGCCCGTTAAACCCTTGACTGTGTTTTAACCCCCAAGTATTGATATTCATAATGGGTTAGCAGGCCATTGGTTTAAAAAAAGAAAGTGTTTATTCGTATTTTCTTGCATAAGTGCACAGGACTTTAATAATACATTGTAAATTAAAGTAGCTGAACTTCAGTAAGCTAGAAAGCTAAATCTCAGCATATTAGAATGGTTTCTGAAGGATCATGTGACACTGAAGACTGGAGTAATGATGCTGAAAATACAGCTTTGCCCTCACCTGGAATAAATTACATTTCAAGATGGGCCTATAGAAACAGCTCTTTTAAATGGTTTTACTGTATGTTTTATCAAATAAATGCAGCCTGGGTGAGCATAAAAGACTTCTTTCAAAAACTTTTGACTAGAAGTGTTTTAATCCATATTCCGTGCAAATAGGTAGTCGTAACGAACCAGATTCCCCAGTAGCTGATCTCCTTTCACTCATTTACTGTTCCTTAAATGAAAGCACTCAGGACATCTGTCTTCTATCCTCAAAGGGCAGGAAGTATAGTGTGCACTCAGGTGTGTGCCCGGAGGCTATAGAGTCATCAGACAGCATAATGACAGGCCGCTGTCAGTCGTACTCAGTATAACAAGGTCTGGGGGCCAAATATGAGTCTGTGTCTAGATGCATCTGATTTTGTAAGAGTTCTGTGAATAATTATAACAACCAGATGTGTCAGGGCTTATAAGATACACCTCTTTGATCATGTCTATTCTGTTTGTTCCCATCGGAAGTGCATTATCCGTATAAAAAATTTATAAAGCTGATGCAGCTCTTACACAGCACAGCCTTAGCTCTCATTTGTGCTCCAAATATCCAGATAAACAGCAAAAATGAAGGACACCTAATATATTACTACATTTTATACCATTGGTTTGGGGTCAGTAAGATTAATTCATACTTTTATTCAGCAAGGACGCATAAACTTTCACATTGATTGTTGTTACACAACATTACTATTTCACATAAATCCTGTTCTGAACTTTCTATTCATCAAAGGATCCTGAAAAACATGTACCATGTTTTCCACAAAAGATATTAAGCAGCACGACTGTTCAACACTGATAAAAAATACGAAATGTTTCTTGAGCACCAAAGCAAATACTAGAATGATTTCTGAAGGATCGTGTGACACTGAAGACTGGAGTAATGTCATGGTGCTGAAAATTCAGCTTCGCATCAAATTACATTTTAAAATATGTTCAAATAGTTATTAATTACAGTTCTAAATTATACCCAATAATATTTCACAATATTACTGTTTTACAGTAGCCTTTGATCAAATAAATGTAGCCTTGGTAAGCAGTCTTCTTTCAAAAACATAAAAAAAACTTTTAAACTTTAAAAAAATAATAATAATAATAAAACACCAAACTTTTGACCGGTAGCTATATGCTGAAAGAAAGAAAGAAAGAAAGAAAGAAAGAAAGAAAGAAAGAAAGAAAGAAAGAAAGAAAGAAAGAAAGAAAGAAAGAAAGAAAGAAAGAAAGAAAGAAAGAAAGAAAGAAAGAAAGAAAGAAAGAAAGAAAGAAAGAAAGAAAGAAAGAAAGAAAGGAAGACACATCCAGCAGCTCCTTTGTGTAATCTCCAGGTGTCGCTATAGAGTCGCTGTGATAAATAACTGAAGCCTCTCCAGTGTAGATTAGTTTAAATCTCAGAGAGGGAAACCGAAGCGCAACATTACGCTGTGAAGGACTCCGATATCAGATCATCTCCGCCGCGTCTCTACAGATCACCATCGGCGCCGAGGAATATCTCTCTATTGTTTTCTTCTAAAGCAATCAAAAAAAAAATCTCTTGCGATCCAGACGTCAGTCTCATTTGTCTTGTGACTGAGTGCGAGCAATTATGGTGAGTTCTGCTGTGATTTAATAGTGTGTTTGCACTTGCTGCAGTGTCTCTATCTATATAGCCCGCCTCGTATAGTGTGTATACACAGCTTAATGATGCACATCGTTGATCTTTATTATATATATATAGAGAGAGTATGTGTGTGTGTGTGTGTGTGTGTGTGTGTGTGTGTATATATATATATATATATATATATATATATATATATATATATATATATATATACATAGATACATATATAATCGGAGTTTACAGGTGTCTTTCAGGTTAGCTACTACACTGAAGAGCTGCAAAAGAATTTCACATAGCCTAGGCTATGCGTAGTGTTAGAACATCTCATGTAGGCTAATAGTAGGCTACAGCATAATTGGACAATAACAGAAAATGTAATAAGATATATATATATATATATATATATATATATATATATAGGCCTATATATATACACACACACACACTTTTAAACAAATGCATGAATCAATTCATGTCATATATCTGCTTAAAATAAACATAATTCTTATACAGTATAACATTATTTTTGAAGTCATGGTAGGAAGTCGTTATCTTCTCAGAGATTGTATATGCTTACAGATTGGTGCACTCTTGTTTGAAAAACAATTGCAATGCATTCCTAGCAGGTCAGTTCCATTAGAGTAAGGTCACTAAGAAGTTTTCTCAGCACTTAATAGGTTGCCACAAACCATAAAAGGGCAATTTGCATAGCTGGAGTGCAGGCTGCCCGTTCCTGTCATCTGCCTTGGTGGTCGCGTAGCACTTGGACCCCAATCTCACTCACTCTGCAGTGTGCGATGTATTTGCGGGCGACTGTTTTGAAATGTTTGGGTGGGAGCCCTTACTAGACTCCAGCTCTGCTTTTGATGCCCTGAATTTAGGGACAAAAGGGAACTGAGTAGCGTTCTTCTCTGCTAGGCAGTAACCTTGGAAACCAGGGGCCATAATAGGACCCCTGACCTATGGAGTCACTGCCCATTGTGGGAGTGGCTCTCAAGTGGAGCTGGTCAGAGGGCGTGAAGCTCCTCCGCGGGTCTCACATCTCCTTTCAGTTGCAGAATGTACAAACGGGGTGTCTAACAACATAAAACTGCATTTAGGGTGGCTTTTAGACAAGGTGGTTGGACGGCTGTCAATGGATTGCTTCTTGTGCAATTCACTGAATGTTCTCAGTGCATTCAAACAGAGCAACCTAAAGAAGCCACTGGGTTAGGTATTTATTTTTAGGTGTTTCAGCTGTTCTGATTTTGCAGCAAACATACATGACAGCTGTCAAATGAGACGCAGAAGCTCATGTCCAGCCAAAGAATCTGGCACAAACTGTCATTCCATCCTTGACCTGCACTGCTGAATATATCATTGTTAAGTAACTGCTCTGCTATTCTGGGCAAGACATAATAACATTAGCTCAACCAATGGCGTGAATTTGGGGTGGAACTATTGATCTGACATAACAATCTAAGCCAAGAGGAGTGTTTGAAACATGTTTGAAAAGTCTTTTTTTGTTTGTTTTTTTGTTTTTGCAATTCTTCTGGATGACACTAGTGGCACATAAATAACACAATTCACTTAATGATTCTAGCTCTATAATGATTATACATATATATAGTATATATTTTTATTCATCCATGGATCACGGTTTTCCCAAAAAATTAAGCAGCACAACTGTTTTCAACATTGATATTTATAAGAAATCTTTCTTGAGCATCAAATCAGCAAATTAGAATGATTTCTGAAGAATCATGTAGGGTAGGCAAATTCGGTCTTCATTAGCATGCCATCACTTCACCTGTTTATGCTTCTACCCTGTAGCCCTGTTGTTTTTTATAGGCGACTTAATACTTGCTTTGCGTCACTGAAACCTGTAAACCTCAGTAGCATTTTGGGAAATAACTAACTAAAAAGTAGCAACAGTTGACAGTAGTTTATCTATTTTCAAAATACTGTAGCTTATCCAGAAACAAACTACTTTTAGTAGTATAGTGCAGCAAAACAGCACATCAGTGTTCTGAAATATTGCAATATTTCACATAAATATTTTGCTACAAAAAGGCATAAAATAGATTTGAATTGGTGAATCATTTTTGAATCTCTTACACAAGTCGCTCAAATGAATGTTTAAAAAATATAAAAATCTGTGGATTTTTTCTTACAGTAAAATATTTAGTTAATTCAAAAGCCCTCCTTGTTTTTGTGCCAAAAAAGTAGCTTGAATGTAGTTAGCTAGTAGCTAATTTTTGTTTGTAGTCTTTAGTAAGGCCGTGTGTCCACCAAAGCGTTTTTAGCCAGCTGAAAACGCTAGAGTAGACGCTCTGCTGAAGACGCCTAGCTGTGGGCGCTTGAGAGCGTTTTGGCAGCACAGCGTTTTTTCCGTTGAGACGTTTCGTTGCTATGATACAGAATATCCGCAGCACAGTTTACTTGTAACTGATTTCGCAGATAATTTGTTTCATACTAAAAAATAATTTTTCATCCATTTTGTTCGGATAGCTCTGCTGGTTGATGTCGTTGTACAGAAAGAATTTTGTGACAGTTGGTCGGTGTGGTATTAGTCCCGCCCCTCCTCCACTGTGATTGGACGGCTGGTTAAAAAGTGACAGTGATGAGCGCTGCGTTTTATCCAAAGTTGAAAATTTTTCAACTCTCGGCGACCAGTAAAAAACGCCGGGCGCTCGTTGCTTCAGCGTGAAAAAACCGCTCAGCGCCTCGTTACGCTCATGGCGTTTAGAAAACGCGGCGCTCCCATTGAAAACATACGCGCGTGGAAAAACGGTTTGGTGGACACACAGCCTAATGGGCCTTTCACACAGGACGCGGAATGCGCTACGCTATGAAACCCATTAATTTCAATGGCTTGCGCCGCGCGAAGACGTTTTGTTTGCTGCGTCGACCAAAGCGCAAGCGCAGCGGTGCGCAGCTCGCGCGCACGCCGCGGTCAAAGTTCAAAATAGTTCAACTTTGACGTGAGCAAGCTGTCTGACAGACGTTAATCTTCTAGTAGCTGTGCGTGAAAATTGCCAACGTTAATCTTGCAGAGACGGGGAACTTGAGCAAAGAGTTCTTTGGCGTGAGTGAGCAGGAGTAAGTATTCCGTTGCTTTTATGGACTCATTACCTATGGGCTTCTCCCTTGACGGGACGTCCCCCCGATTGCCTGCGAGCTTCTCCTCCTGTCTGTACGGTAATTTCTGTACAGCGCGACAGAGAGTCGAGTGGTTATGACGCAATCGTTAGCCTATTTTTACTAAATCTGTTTCTACGGGGCCATAATGTAACATAGAAGGTAATGGAGCACTTTATACATTGTCGTGTTTCTTTAGAAATAAATAATGGACAAATGGAGTCTTTAAACGCCTCAGATGTAAAGTTATTCGCTGTCAAAGTGACGCCAAAATGAATGGGAGTCAATGGAAATGCTAACGCAAGTGAAGTTCTGCTACAACATGCCGGCACCCGGCCGGCTTCAACTTCCGGTCGATGGATTACCCCCTTGCGCTGAACCCAGCGGCCAGCGCAGCGTATTCCGCGTCCTGTGTGAAAGCCCCTTAAGACTTTATGAGTAGCTACCGTTTCAAAGTTGCTTCCCCAACAGGGTATTTCAGGTTGCTCATGACTACATTACCTCCAGCCACAGGACCTTAGTGAGGACAGTGGGCTTGTAGCATAGCTGAACCCATGGAAAATGAGCTAATCATGGTTGTAATCATCCTGCTGATTTTTTCCTTCTCTTCACCTCTGTTTGCTGGCCTGCCCCAGTGCCTCATCTGACACTGCGTAGAAAGTCGGATTAGTCAGGTTTCTTTCTCAGGACAACATCACACACGCTCACACTTACCATTGAGATTTTGCCTTTAGATCCTTTTATCCTTTGAGAGAAGCGTCTGTCGTGGTAATTAAAGATTTGTGGCTTTGGACAACAAATAGAAGCTCTGATCCTGCAACATATTACCTCTGATGCAAAATGATGAGGAGGACGTCATTAAAATGTACTCTATTTTAGTAATGTATCCTGCTTGGCCAAAAGTCATCTGGACTATGTTCACCTTCAAGCACACAATGTAGCTTTGTGCTGATTCTTTTGATATCATACTAAACAATCCAAGTGCTGATTGTGCTCTTGCAAAGTGGTTCCACAACAATCTTTTGGTTTCACTGACAGTGCGAAACATTTTATTGGCACTATCATGTCTATCCAGCGATCTACTACTTAGAAAAATGGTCAGTTTCACCTTCACTGCCATCGTGAACCTTTTTTGCTTAGAGGTTTTGTTAAAGTTTGATGGCAAAAAGAACAGTGTAAAATAGTCTTGACAGCCAATGTTTATATCAGGTTTCAGTTAAGAACATTTGTATGTGAGGTCTATTGTGTATTGAGAAAGAAGAATGCAGGGGTAGTTTTATTGTGGCTGTTGGATGGACATAGTTAGGTAGGCTAATAGTGCTAGGTTGCTAACACAAAGGATCAGTTTTATTCGTAATAAGAATTTGATTTGGCTTAATTTTGCTACCTATATAAGAATTAATTAAAAAAATACAACAAGGCCTTTCACGATTATTGATTAATCAGTCTGATAGTGGTTGTTAGCTATTAGCCTACCTAATTATGTCAATCTAAACACGATTATTTTAGATAACCACAATCATTTGGCAGTTTCAATTTCAATCACATTTTTCCATCCAAATAAGGGAAATTTATGCGCTTAAATGCCATCGAATGCATGATATTGTGTCTTGGTAGGGAGAAGTATATATAAATAAATCAAATATATTAAATACATAATTTTTTAATTCCATTTTATTTGTTTGCAAAATATTTAACCAGGTTACGCCAGGTGGACTTTAATCTGCTGCAATTAGCATACTACATGTTGTTTTGGATGAAATTTCTGTACTAATGAGGAAGTAAATAATAATTTGTGTGACCCTTAGTTGATATGGTTTCATTTCCTCCTCATCAAGTTTCATGCAAATCATAAACAACAGAAAACATGTCAGGGTAATATCGATTACAGCACTTTGTTTCCATTACTCAAAAATATTTCATAGCTTTAAACCGGTTGTAATTCAAAACTACCTGGAAATCAGTTTGCCGTTTTTCTCTGAAGGTAGGTTGGGGTGAGAAGTCAAACTCCTGTACTTATTGTTTCTTTTTATAGCTGTCTAATGGCTGCTCTCTAGAAATGTTGTGTAGTTTTTCTGAACATGCTTCTAGTATAGAAAAAGTATAGTGTTTGTTTGGGTTTGGAGTCTGTTTTTCCACTTGGTTTGTAGATCTCTCGTAATTTAAAATGACTCATATTTGATGATGAAAGAGGTGCTATGACTTTTCTAAGCAATTAAGCTAGCTTTTCATAGCTATTCAAGGTTACATTTCTTCTAAGGAACACAATATTTTGGTTTGATGATGGGCTGAGGTTGAGGAAACAGGTCTGGCTCAGTTGTCTCTCATCAGGAGTCAGATAGATAACTGAGAGCAGGCTTAGACTTGTCTACCTTACCTTACCACACTACACATCCTCATCCTCCCTCTGCTCTCTTTCTTCTTTTTCATTCGGTACTCCTCCTCTTCTGTCATCTCGGGAAGGCCTTCTCCTGCCAGCCCCGGCAATGGTTGAATTTATGGAATCTTCTAGACTGACGAGCCTGGAGGGGAGAGCATATGCAACGCTGTATTTAAGAAACATGACTGGGGCACGGTAGCGTTTACTCATGATAAAGTCTGCTTCGTCCTTCAGTAGCTATTTATTTTTCTGCTTGATCTCTCTGCCAGCCTGCCAGTGAAATAACCCTCATGTAAACATGCCCTTTCCAAAAATCTCCCTCCCAGAAAGAACATGTTTGTCTAGTTGATCCTTAGCCAAGAGTGACGTACTGTACTTTAGTTAAAGTGTATCATAAAAGTCAGCTGAGGCATTCTAGAGGTGAGATTTGCCCTTTCTGACACCTGTAGCAAATTCCCTCATGAGATCGACTGATAATGTATCAACCAATACTAATAGTTTTTCATTTGAATAATGAAGAACATGTATAAGAATGTATAATATATATATATATATGGTCCTTCTCAAAAAATTAGCATATTGTGATAAAGTTAATTATTTTCCATAATGTAATGATAAAAATTAAACTTTCATATATTTTAGATTCATTGCACACCAACTGAAATATTTCAGGTCTTTTATTGTTTTAATACTGATGATTTTGGCATACAGCTCATGAAAACCCAAAATTCCTGTCTCAAAAAATTAGCATATTTCATCCGACCAATAAAAGAAGTGTTTTTAATACAAATAAAAAAGTCAACCTTCAAATAATTATGTTCAGTTATGCACTCAATAGTCAATACTTGGTCGGGAATCCTTTTGCAGAAATGACTGCTTCAATGCGGCGTGGCATGGAGGCAATCAGCCTGTGGCACTGCTGAGGTGTTATGGAGGCCCTGGATGCTTCGATAGCGGCCTTAAGCTCATCCAGAGTGTTGGGTCTTGCGTCTCTCAACTTTCTCTTCACAATATCCCACAGATTCTCTATGGGGTTCAGGTCAGGAGAGTTGGCAGGCCAATTGAGCACAGTAATACAATGGTCAGTAAACCATTTACCGGTGGTTTTGGCACTGTGAGCAGGTGCCAGGTCGTGCTGAAAAATGAAATCTTCATCTCAATAAAGCTTTTCAGCAGATGGAAGCATGAAGTGCTCCAAAATCTCCTAATAGCGAGCTGCATTGACCCTGCCCTTGATAAAACACAGTGCACCGACACCAGCAGCTGACATGGCACCCCAGACCATCACTGACTGTGGGTACTTGACACTGGACTTCAGGCATTTTGGCATTTCCTTCTCCCCAGTCTTCCTCCAGACTCTGGCACCTTGATTTCCGAATGACATGCAAAACTGAGCAACAGTCCAGTGCTGCTTCTCTGTAGCCCAGGTCAGGCGCTTCTGCCGCTGTTTCTGGTTCAAAAGTGGCTTGACCTGGGGAGTGCGGCACCTGTAGCCCTGGCTCTGGATGTTTCTACTCCAGACTCAGTCCACTGCTTCCGCAGGTCCCCCAAGGTCTGGAATCGGTCCTTCTCCACAATCTTCCTCAGGGTCCGGTCACCTCTTCTCGTTGTGCAGCGTTTTTTGCCACACTTTTTCCTTCCCACAGACTTCCCACTGAGGTGCCTTGATACAACACTCTGGGAACAGCCTATTTGTTCAGAAATTTCTTTCTGTCTTACCCTCTTGCTTGAGGGTGTCATTGATGGCCTTCTGGACAGCAGTCAGGTCGGCAGTCTTACCCATGATTGCGGTTTTGAGTAATGAAACAGGCTGGGAGTTTTTAAAAGCCTCAGGAATCTTTTGCAGGTGTTTAGAGTTAATTAGTTGATTTGATGATTAGGTTAATAGCTCGTTTAGAGACCCTTTTCATGATATGCTAATTTTTTGAGACAGGAATTTTGGGTTTTCATGAGCTGTATGCCAAAATCATCAGTATTAAAACAATAAAAGACCTGAAATATTTCAGTTGGTGTGCAATGAATCTAAAATATATGAAAGTTTAATTTTTATCATTACATTATGGAAAGTAATGAACTTTATCACAATATGCTAATTTTTTGAGAAGGACCTGTATACACACACACACACACTCGATTCCAATTTCGATACCACAACTAAAACTACTAGCCTAACTAGTATAAATTTAAAAGACAACTAGAAAAGACAAGTAAACAGTCAGTAATAAAATAAGAACAAATAATCAAATTACAAAAATAAATACAATATAACAAAGATACAAATGAAATAAACAGGGCTTTTCAGGTAGGTCTAACAGTAGTTTTCAGTTACAGAAATTGTATAAAGTAAGCAAATGTAAAATAGCACTGTCTTCACTGTATAAATTAAACATTAATCCTTATTAAAGTTACAAAAGTCATTCAGTCAAAAGCAGTGAGTGATTTTCCTTTGTCCTTTGTTGTTTGATTAACAATAAAAACATAGACAGCAGCAATAGGCTGCTGTCACTTTAAGAGCAAATGCACAGATCTAATACACTGATACACATGCGTGTTTTCCACTGTTTACATTCACTTAAGACATAACTGACTATGTTTACTAGGATACTCGCTATTTTTTACTATTTTGTACGCTCAATTGCAATAAGATGTGAAAGAGAGCTCAGTTTAGTATTCACTAAATTATTAATATATTAATACATATACATATAAATTCTAATGAATGGGTCTCTAGTCAGTCACGTGGATACCACAAGAAACTGATTCATTTGCTCCACCACAACGTTCTCATGTAGAACAAGCCCCCCATTTTATTCAAGTGTCTCCCACCAGCATGATGTAATTTGATGCTGTGGAGAGCTTTCCAAGGCTGCCTGCATGGTGTAGTGCGCAAAGCCTATTGTTTAGACACATTGCAAGATGACAACACAATGTGTTTCCCACTGGTCACCAGGTTTTGCAGTGGTCCTCTGAATTTCTCCATCACAAACAACATTCAATTCTTTGGTCTAAAGCACTTTCTGCATTCTAGTTGGTTCCGCATTAGCAGCATTCAATATCGCTGTCCATGGCACAAGTAGTGTCCTTCACATTTGTCACAGAACAAGGAGAACAGGTTCTTCCACACCGACACTAAAGGCGCGCTTTCTTTACAAAAGGGAGAGAGGGGTGATCCGTGTAGCGGTGGCAGGAGAGAGTAACCAGAGACATTCCCAGGGGTTTTCCTGGCCGTAGTCTGGCAGCAGGTCCGTGGGAGTGAAGGAAGAGATGTTTAACTGCTGATGGGTAATTTGGAGCTCTCCTCAACGGCATTAGGAGGAAATCAAATAAATGTGCATTGACTGGAAGAAAAGAGAGCTACGGCAGTGAGTTTTCCTCAGGTGAACATCTTGTTTTGCATTTTACTTTATGTAGCCGTATTTCATTGTAAAAAAAGAAGAAAAAGCTTCTCTCTATAGTGTTTGTACCATCATTAAATAAGAACCGGAGAGGATGTTTGTCTCCAAAAACTGCCTCGCTGTGACATTCAACTCTCTCTGCCTCACAGAAGGCTCTCTGCATCATAAAAGATCCTCTCAGCATACAAACCTATTGTGGAGCGGTTGGTTAACTTCCATTCTGTTTACTGTCAAGAAAGTTGTGATGCGAGACTCTTTGTAGCCTTTGGGAAGCGTATTTGCAATTGAAATGCAATGCACCAATTTCTTTAATACTGACATCAAATGAAAAACAAAACAAAACAGGATTGTTGTTGTTTTTTGCCAGTACAAGTTACATCCTCATTCCCTGCAGGGACAAAATTGTAATTCTAAAAACTATTGCGCAAGGGTGGCATTGTTCAGATCCATGCTTTCTGTTTAGAGACCACTGACAGGTTTTAAATCTTCCATCTTATGGTGTGATAGATGTGAAAAGTCATATATAAAAGCTAAATACAAAATAAGGTAAGTTATGGCATAAAATAAAATAATTCTCATTCTCATCCTTCAGTTCTAAAAAAAACAAAAATCATGTTTATATTAATGCACTTACAATGGATGGGGCAAGACTGGGATAAATGCTACAATTCACACTGCTTGGAAGCAATACTTTAACATCTAACATGTTAATTCGCTCAATAGTCTAACTTTCACAAGATACACGGAAGGCTGTGGGATGAGTTGAAATGATTTACTGGGGTTATTGACAGGATGTCATAGGTCTTTTCAATAAAGCTTAACTTGTATTTTAACCCATAGCATTCCTTTAAAAATAATCCAAGATGATGTCATGACCTTGAGCGAAAACAAGGAACTGATTGTACAACGAAACTCGGACTAGGTAAAAAATACATAAAGTGTTCATTTCTAAGAAATCCAATGCAGTTTTGTCAGTCAATTCAGTCTTAAACCAGATGGAGGTGTCATTTAATATAATCAGAAATGTTTTTCCAAAGCTTTACCTCACTACTGTGGTATCTCAACATCCCAGTCAGCCATAAAACCCATATTAATTATTACCTTCACAGAAATGTGAGGAATGTCCATTTTTTACCCACTTATCTAACTTACTTCCCATAAAGAATGTATCTTTCAGCTCAGGGAGCATGAATCCCACTGAAAAGGGTCAGATAGAAAGAAAGAGAGCAGGGGTGGCTCACATGAACTCAATGAGAAAAGTAAACAGAAAAAGAGCTGGTTAAACAATAGAACCTGGTGCCCCTCCTCACCACTGGCCTATTACGACATTACACTCTCTGGACTGTAGAACTAGTTGTTCATTTTAAAATGTTAGTTGGTGATTTCAGAAGCATAGCATTGTTGTTATGCTTATAGGCCTACATGGAATATGTGCAGGCAGAATTGAATTTAATAAATATTTTGTCTAATTTGATTATTTGATTGTTAATAAGAGTACAGTATGTTATCATGTTATTTTGCCTAAAAATAAGTGTAGAAAATGCCTAGCAATGCAAAAAAATTATAATAAACATCAGTAAAACGAGTCTGGGCCTGCTTATGAAATAGACATACTGGACATATGGAAAATCTGAAAATATAAGAGTGATTTCCAGTCCTGGAAAACTCATGGATAATAATAATAATATCTTAAGAAAAGTTCTGTACTAAATATTTCTAGTGATACTCGGTTATAAAACATGAAAATATTCTGAAATATTTCATAAATTGCTCTTTGTTTGTGATCTTTATAACATTAAAATCCTAACTGAAGAATCACAAACTACTAGAAAAGTCATGGAAGTCCATTGGTGAAAAAGTGTGGCAACCAACCCTGACCTACATTGGATTCATTTTAATGTGATTGCAAGCAGGGACATTTTGCATTTATGAGTCCAATTAATTACACAAGCTGGATTGCTGTAATATATTTGCAGATACTTCTTTCCCGCAGCCCCTTTGAATGCTAATCAACCCTGCTGCATTATTTAAAAGCAGTGTATCATTAAATACTTGTAGGTGTTAACAGGCAAAGCACATCCTGGCTATATTTACTGAAAGTTTCTAAAGGTAGGTGTGAAGTTTCCATTCAGTTGCCATAGCGACTGGCCAAAAACACAGACAAGTGCCCTTAAAGTTGCATGTTGCAGTCGAGTAATGGAACATCTGAATCTCTCGTTGCACTAATTTGTCATGTAGTTGTTTGAAAAAGTGCTTTGGGTCAGAATTGACAGCACTCAGCAGGCGGCGGACATGGATTCGGTCTGTTAAAACTGTGCAGGGCACTTCACACAGCATTAGGGCTAATACGATTTAACACTCTCAGAGTGACCTCCACAAAGCCTCCTCGCAAGCTAATCTTCACTACATTAACACACGTGTGGGATTTGACACCTCCACATGGCTTTGGTACTGCTTCAGACCACATTTCCTAATTTTCTTGCCCATACATGAGGACATTTCTTGTTTTAGATGCATGAATCAAGTGGTAATTGCTGCAATTTATTAGATCAACCTGTGTGCATTTTGCGTACTGGCTGTAAATTTAGATTTCCTTTTTAAATATGCTAACCCTGTTAACAGTTCCTGCGATATTCAAAACTACAGCATGATAGCATTTCTTTAACAGAACAGATTCAATTTAATTTAATTTTAAACACATTATTGCCCGTATCTTTGTTTTTGCTCCGCCAACGAAAATAATTCCTAACGAATTCACAACAGAACTGTCGAGAAACAGTGTGGTTTTTTGTTCTTAAATTAATTGGTGTTTCGAGTGAATGATTCAATCACTCACTTATCAAGACAGCCAATTGCTTTGTTTCTGAATGAATCAGTGTTTTGATGCTCAAGAAACATCTCTTATTATTATCAATTCTGAACATGTAACATGTATATTCTGTTTAGGTTTAGCTTAATTTTTAGTTCAGTTGTGTTGCTGTTTGCCCATGTTCCCTTTGCTTGTTTGTCTCCGTGGTTTCGAATTGAGTTCTACCAGAAAGACTCGGGAGATAAATTGAAAAGCTGTATACATTTATTGACAGCTCAGCAAGCATAAATTTATGAGTTCTTTGGCGTAGGCCCCGTCCTTAGCGAGCAAAGCGAGGTTAGCCGAATCTGCATGTCCCGCCTGAGATGAAGGCGGGGGCGCAGCCGACCCCCTGGAGGTAAGGAAGGGACCATCCTGGTGGTGGTGATGGGGAGGATGGAGGGGAAGGTACCGTCTTGGTGGTGGTTGGGGAGGATGGGGGTGAATGGCAGCGTCAGCATCTGCGAACTCAGACAAGTGTAAGTACCAATCTTATATACTGTGACTGTTAACACCTGATTGGATAGGGATGAGGTAATACATGGCGCGCTGATTGAGTCTTCCTGACAGAACTTAAGCTAAAGCTTCCATTTACGTGTTTCTGGTTACTTTAATTATCCCTGCGTGTATTTAAGCCTTGAGTTCTTTCTGTTCATGTCTGAGGTTGTTGCTATTTCTCCTGTGTTATTGTTTTGGATTATTGCATTAAAAACTGTTTTTGTCATATTCTCCTGCCTCGTGCGCTTCACTGCAGCAACATCTGACAGAATACAGTTGTGCAGTTTTACGGTGGCGCATTGCTGCCATATGTCATTTTAAAGGTGAACTAAGTAACTTTTTTACCTTAACCGAACAGCTTTGGAGTCATTGTAATGTTTATATTACTGATTTCATGTTGAATGGTGGTCGTCTCGCACCCCCCTGGTGCCTGTGAGCCGCAAAACCACCCTTGCAACTTTGGGCTGGCGGGCCGTCTCGCGAGGTAACGAATTGCTTTACGGCAAAAAACAGATCTGATCAAATTCTGATAAAATGAGCATCAAACAGAAATAACCCGGCGCCGTATACATGTGGTGTTCGATACGCACACATACAATACAGACTGCCGACAGTTAAACAGGGCGCGCGCAGCTCTTAAAGGGGCCACACCTTATTTCCACTCGTTACAGCATCCATCCTACTGAACTGAACAGGTACCGGTGTACAGGGGGAGGGGATCCGGCCATGAGTGCGAGCCATCTCTGCGTGAGTGCTATTCACGACAGTAGAAGTACTCCACAGCGACTCTAGGGGTCGCTGTTTGACAAAAACGGAATTCCTACTTAGTGCTGCTTTAACTACATATTTTCTCGTAATAATGATGTTATGTCGTTAAAACGGCATATTTTTCTTGTTAAAACAACATATTTTCTCGTAATAAGGCCATATGTTGTACAGTGACATGTAATATGCCTTTATCCACTTTAGAGAATATATATAACATATCGTGCCTTTATCAAAGTTCCACATTCGAAAAGCAGAAGCAAATGGGATACGTAAAATACCTTCCGCTGCCTGTATCAATGGCAGTGCGTATAACACGAGATTGTTGTGATTTATTGATGTACAGTTCATCACAGATAGCCTACTTCATGTAAACCAAACTTTCTCAAACTTTTTGGGGCCATGGACCCAGAAAGTGACACAAGTAACAGTGGTCATTGGGCATCGCTGGAGTCCAAAATCCAAAACTCAATCTTGGGTGCGTTTCCCGTTCAACATCGTAACTCATTGCTTAACCACTGTACTATGGATTGTTAAAGAAATCAACTGGCTGGTCATGACCGTTTCCTGAAACCATATTGTTGCAAATTTGTCATTCAACCACATCGGTTAATGATGTCATGCATGTGGTGGAGTAATAACTTCTTTAATGTATCCATTTGAGATCAAATTAATGATAGTTTTTTTTTTCTCTCTCTATAAATTACGGACTTGGCATCTGAGGACTAATTCAAATTTTTCTCAGTTATTTAGCTTTTTTTTCCAGATTCAAGGTACTAGAGCAAGTATGCACATGCACACTCTTCAAAAAACAGGGCTTTTCATCTCTTGACAAACTAAAAGACATAAATGATATTTGTATATATTTGAA